ACACACACACACACACACACACACACACACACACACACACACACACACCCCTCTCCCACAGCACAGCTATGTGCCCCTGCTCCCTCCCGTACCTATCTCAAAATTTGGGCAGAAAAAAAATGTTACTGCTTTTTTTCCAAATACCATCAAGGACTTCCAGTTAGATTCAACAACTATATACTGAGAGCTTGGCAGGTTCATAGCACTCTGTTAAGCACTAACACTTGGCCTTCCAGGCTTTTCCACCAGCCCACCAGAGATAAATGAGACACAGACTCTCTGCTCCCACAGCGTCCTGTGCATATCACTAAAATAATACCTGTGACACATACTAAAATCCTCTGTTTTTTTCCTCCCACTAGACCAGAAGTCTTTAGAAAACAGACCACCACTCAGTCATCATTGCATCCCCGGCACCTATTACACTTCCTGGTACAAAGGAGGTTTTACAAAACATGTTAGTCGAACAAAACAGAAACCAGTTCTAGCTCCTGCCCTTGAGGAGAGAGAGCTAGCCTGGCTTAACTGTAAATTAGTGCTCCCATCGTGAACACCTTTCCATCTCGGGGAACCCAGCACACACACAGATGCTTTGGGATCTATCTTCCCGATGGGATGCACACCACAGGCAGCGTTCTGGCAAACCCTCTCCCAGGACGATGTGGAGTTGTAGCTCAGCAGAATAAGCCGGCTCCAGTTTTCCTTCCCAACTCCTTCACAGCCATAGTCCCCACCAGACAGAAAGGCAGGTGGGGGTATGGCCTAGGTGACCTTGAGACTAGGATACCACTCTGACTCCCACAATCCCCTGGCTGACATAAACACCTGGTCTCTTGGCCTGGTGACCAGAACACAGCCCCAGGATTCCAGCCGGTCTGTTCCCCCCAGCACATCCAGACCAGACTGGTCAGACTGGATTTCTGGGTCCTTGCCACTAGAGGCGTGGCCTCCAGTGGTGCAGCAGCCCCACCTGAGAATGATCCGAAGGTACTCCATGCCCTCCGCCTCCTCACACTTGACGGACAGGAGCAAGTTCCCCAAACTGCTGCCAGTACAGTAAAAGTTTAGGTGATCCTAGAAACAGAAATCAGGTATTAACAGGGAGGAGGGGACCTTCCAGACATGGCCCCCCAAATCACCTCCTTCACCAGGAGCAAGAAGCCACACAGCAACGAGGAGGAAAGACAAGGATGCTACTGCTGTGGTTGATGCTGCTGAGGAGGAGGGGGGAAGGAGCAAGACCACAGGAATAGATTCCAACGGCCCAGTCGTTGGGACGTGCCAGGCAATGGACTAAGGACTTAACACACATTGACTCCTTTAATCCTGACCACAACTTTATGGGGGAGATGACATCATCATCCCCATTTCACAGATAAGTAAACCAATGTCCAGGGAGATTAAGAAACTGCCCAGAGTCACACAACCAGTAAGTGACAGATCCAGCATTCAAGCCCACCTTGAACGCTGATGCTCAAATTCATCTCCAAGGACCCCACACATCCACTTCCTTGCTCCCAGGGAGCAGCACTGGCTGATTCAGACCATTTGCAGGAATAAAGCTAGGAGGCACCCTGGCTCCTCCACGCATGGGGAGCTAGGAGGTCTTCTGGAGAGTGGGTCTCCCTCAGGCTCAGGGAGCCCACTCCAGACCTGCCATATCAGTGTGGGGCCCTGGAATCTGCATTTAAACAATGCAGCTGAGACTCTGCAAAACTGCCTTAGGCTGGAGACTTCTGGAACCTGCCCTCGGGACTTCCAAACCAGGCAAGTCTGAAGAGCAGAATATATTTAAAGAAATGTGACTTTGCCACTTGTGAGCAATCAGAGGCTCATCTCATCTGTTACAAGTGCCCTGGGGACCTGCTGGAGTGAGGACAGGGGAGACTTGACTACTTAGATGGAGACAAAGACTTCCAAGGTGTGAGAACACATTTTCTCCTTCACCCTTCTTCACCCCCCAACACTACCCATCCCATCACCCCCGAGAACATGTGCTGGGAGTGGTGCCCCCAAGGACCCATCGCAGTGAGTCTTCCTGACTTCTGCACACCCTGTCCTCCCGCCCAGGAGCAGAGCTAGTTGCACTTCCCCAGCCAGGACAGCCGGACAGCGGCAGGCCCTAGGGAGGAGGCAGGCCCAGGAGGGAGGCGAGACGGAGACAGGGATGCGGGAGGAGGCCGGGCCAGGTACATCTCCCTGCCCGCCCCGCAGCTGCTTTTGTGCAGGGCCCTCGGCCTCACCTTCCCCAGGAAGTGCCTGCGGTAGGCCCTGGCTTCGCCCCTGCACTCGAGCTTATAGCCGAACGTGCTGGGGCTGGGGCTGCCCTCTTCCTCCTCCTCACAGATGCTGCTGCCAAGGGAGGTCGGCGTCCCCACGTTCTCCGGGTCCTCGATCCAATAGCCTCCAAACTGGGGCAGGACAATCAGGGGGTACGGGCCTCCCTTTTCCACAACCTGGAGGCAGAGAGAAGGTCTTGCACTTCGGCCAGCCCTGGTTCTACAGGGAGAGGGCAGGGGAGGGGTGCCAGTGGTGGCACCCCCCCACCTCTGAACTGCTCCAAGGCGGAGACCCCTGTAGTTGAGGCCAAATACAGTAACACAAACCCCAAATTTAAGCCCAACAACATCTCCCAGCTTCACTGACCCTGGAGCACCAGAGTGGCAAGGCTTCGATCAGCACCCCAGTCTGGACACGGCAAAACTGAGGCCACAAAGGTAAAATCCCGGGCCTGAGGCTCTCGGCCACGTGGGGTGGGGCAAGAGCCATCAGCACTACCAGCTGCCCCAGCCCACCCCAGACATGAGACCCAGGACAGGCTACGGTGAAGCTAGGGGGCTCCTACCTCATCAATGCTGGGGTACGGGATATAGTCATCCTGCAAGACAAACCAGATAAGGCTGCCATTAGCCCCAGCAGTGCCCATGAAGTTTGAGGGTTGTTTTTCCATTCTCCCAGGTCGGGGGGTGGGAGTGCCTGGCAGGCTGTACCTGAGCTTTGAGAGAGCAGCAAAGAGAACACCAGAGGAAGAACAGCAGAGAGGCAGCTGGGATCTGGTTTCCCTTGAGTGCTCCCCCAAACTGACAGAACCTGAACGCAGTACACAGAGGCTCTGAATTTCACGCCTTGCATGACGTCAGCTTCACCCCCTAGGAAGCTCTAACAGGAAGATGACCCCTGATCCCAACCAGCCCTGCCTTCAGACAAAAGAGCTGACCTCCAAGTGATGAGCCGCACCCCTCAGCCTTGGGAAAAGAAACTGAAGCTGAGAGCTGAGGATCACTGGACCCAAAGCCTGATACCCCGAAATGCCGTGTGCGGTTTGTTTGCAGACGCAGGTACAGAAGAGCTAGGCTGAGCCACAGGCCTTAGGTCTCACCCGAAGCTTCCACCCCAGCCTTCCATGCCAAGGCTGCCCTAAAGGCATCAAGTCAGGGCCTTGCTACTGCCCACCATGCACCAGTGAACACGGGCACATCCACTTAAGGAGCTCTTGGTGAAAGGCAGATGGAAGACCACAGACCCCAGCACGCCGGCCGTCCCCCTGCTGGGCCCACCGGGCTGCCCCCTCATCCACACAGCCCACCTTGTTCTTCTGGGGGCCCGGCTTCTGCTCTTCAAGCTTGATTCCCTGTGGAAACAAGGAGAAGAGGATCCATGAAAGAGAAAAGGTCGGGGCGCCTGGGTGGCTCAGTTGTTAAGCATCTGCCTTCGGCTCAGGTCATGGTCCCAGGGTCCTGGGATCGAGCCCCACATCGGGCTCCCTGCTCGGCGGGAAGCCTGCTTCTCCCTCTCCCACTCCCCCTGCTTGTGTTCCCTCTCTCGCTGTGTCTCTTTCTGTCAAATAAATAAATAAAATCTTTAAAAATAAAAAAAAAAGAGAAAAGGTCATAAAATAGAGGCCAAATGGAGCGTTCCCTCGGGATTCTCAAACACCTGCCTTGATAGGGCTGGTAATAACAGCAACAGCGGATGTGTGCCGGGTCCTGACACATCACACACCTTGTCACACTCAGTCCTCATGGCAGCTCCAAGTAAGGCAGGAGGACAGGCAGGGAAGAGCATAGACTCAAGCCAGAGCACCAGGGTTCAAATCCCAAACTGCCACTTATGACCTTGGGCAAGTCCCAAACCTCTGTGGCTCAGTCTTCCCATCTGCAAAACAGGGACGGTGACTGCAGCTACTATTGTGGTAAAGGTTAAATGTGGAGGATGTGCTAAGCCCTAGAGAGAGGGACTGGTTTGTTTTGCTATAGGTCATTATCACCAATATTACCAGGCAGTGTTGTCATCCTGGCACGGAAATCTCTCTGCCAGGCCCTCAGAACCAGCAGGTATGGGGCAAGGGTGTGAACCCACATCTGAATGGTGTCAAAGCCAGCACTCTGGACCTGGTGCCACCATAGCTCCTCTCCCTCCTCAGGGTGCAGACTCGCAGGTGACAGGCAGGGGGCCTGAGGCTCATTCACTTCTGGGAAGCTGTGCCTTGTCCAGTGGTCCTATGGTCAAGATAGGACTTAATTGGGTTTTTTTCAAGAGGGGAGAACACGATTGAATAGAATGTCTGAATAAATTAAATAAGGGTATGAAATGGTGAGACAACTAGGGAGAGAAGACCCTCCTAATCATAACATGGGGATTTTTTTAATTTTCTATTGTTATGTTAATCACCATACATTACATCATTAGTTTGTGATGTAGTGTTCCATGATTCATTGTTTGCATATAACACCCAGTGCTCCATGCAGAACATGCCCTCTTTGATACCCATCACCAGGCTAACCTATCCCCCACCCCGCTCCCCTCTAGA